TCCCTAGCAGAATTTTGATTTGATGTGTCACGGTAAGGCTTTGTAATGATCTCGTGGTATCTTAGCTTGAAAAATGGTTACAAGACCGAAAGAAAATAATAGAACGTAAAAGGATGACCGTGGAAAAAGGAACAAGAAAAGAACTTTATGCGCTTCGAAAACATGTGAAGTTTTATATTATCTTATTCTATAAAAAAGCATATTCCTGAATATTGATCGTGATATAAGCCAATGTACTTTCTTCAAAATATGACATCAATAGATAATTGAAGGGAAAGAAGGATATATTTTTTTACCCTCAAATCATAAAAGCAATCTGCCGTATGAGACTTAAAAGAATGAGATACATCGCAATAGAGATGAGATTCATCACAATAATAGTACATTTTATAGATCAAATATTTATAATATGTAAATTATGGGAAAATACAAGATCATGTTTTTCATTTAATTATATAAGAAAACATTGCATAAATAATTGTTAAATTATATTGAACATAAACTATATGAAAAGATTATCTAAAGGAAACGCGTGGTCCGAAACATGAATGTCAGATTAAAAGTAAAACTTATTATTATTAAATTCATACTTGTATGAAATATAGTTAAACCACTGTGCAAATAGCATTCAAAAAATCAGGGCATTGATTAATGCAACTAGATTTAACCAGCTTTCGCACGCGCAAATTCTGTCAGATCTTCTTGAATATTCTACCAATATTCTTGAAGCATTATCAGGAAGTTAACCAAGAGTAAAGACATACGGAAGCGCGGAGAAGCTATCATGTTCTTTGGTTCGAACTTAAATCCGATTATTAGTGCAAAGTCACGCGATATATTCCGCTTCCTTTCTGAAAAACGAATTAACCAACAACTCTTAGAATTATTTAAATTATTTAAATGCTATGAGAGCATAGTAAAAAAACGGAAATATATATATTTTCACAGAAAAGAAAGACTTAGTGCTTCAGTTACTGTATCTGATTCTCATTTAACCAGATTCAAGCAAAGGTTTGTGTCGTAAAAATCTCGAGAATTTGTCTCAAACCGTAAAAAAGTCTATTGTACCAATAAAAAATACTGTAATTGGATTTTTAAGCATTTTCTTTTACGATCATGTCTTACTACTATTTTACATGCTTCGTATACTTCCCTTTCAGCTAATTACTAGATTAAAACTTTCCATCTAAAATTAATTAAAGAATAATAAAAGAATAAAATTTTTTAATCTTAAAAAACACGATTTATTATATCATTTCCAATTGTTAATTATTTGTAAATTTAAATCTTGTTAATTATTCTATAAATTCTCTCGACATTTTTTTTAAGAAAAGAATTTTGTATTAAAAGAAATGTCATTAAAATATAATAACACAATGACAACGTCGAGTATAATCGTAAGTCTAGAGCAATCAATATTTCTCGGTTGCAAAGTTCAGGTATCCTCGAGAAACTGACGATAATGAATGCGCGTAGGATGCATTTTAATCTTTCGCATCATCGACGCTTATCGATATTAAGGGATCGGTCCTTTTTTTTTGTTTCATGCGTCAAAGTGTTTTTTTCCAAGCGCGCGACATTCGCGTTCTGCGCCTGACACACCATGAGTCTGCGCGTGGTAAATTTCGAAAGGACTCGGCTGAACAGAGTATGCGAAAATCCTTCAGTCTATCACCGACTTCCACCCCCTTGATGTTGCATTGCATTTCAATAAACGTAATAAGAAGATCGTAAAATCGTGCGATAACAGTTAAACGAAAACGGCGATAGTAGCGTGAAAACAGATTAAAAGTTCTTTGATAAATACGGAAGGAAACTTCTCACGTAAGTATGTGTTACATATTTATAAATGTATAATCACGAACAAATAATCAATTTTTCATGACATCAATAGATAATTGAAGGGAAAGAAGGATATATTTTTTTACCCTCAAATCATAAAAGCAATCTGCCGTATGAGACTTAAAAGAATGAGATACATCGCAATAGAGATGAGATTCATCACAATAATAGTACATTTTATAGATCAAATATTTATAATATGTAAATTATGGGAAAATACAAGATCATGTTTTTCATTTAATTATATAAGAAAACATTGCATAAATAATTGTTAAATTATATTGAACATAAACTATATGAAAAGATTATCTAAAGGAAACGCGTGGTCCGAAACATGAATGTCAGATTAAAAGTAAAACTTATTATTATTAAATTCATACTTGTATGAAATATAGTTAAACCACTGTGCAAATAGCATTCAAAAAATCAGGGCATTGATTAATGCAACTAGATTTAACCAGCTTTCGCACGCGCAAATTCTGTCAGATCTTCTTGAATATTCTACCAATATTCTTGAAGCATTATCAGGAAGTTAACCAAGAGTAAAGACATACGGAAGCGCGGAGAAGCTATCATGTTCTTTGGTTCGAACTTAAATCCGATTATTAGTGCAAAGTCACGCGATATATTCCGCTTCCTTTCTGAAAAACGAATTAACCAACAACTCTTAGAATTATTTAAATTATTTAAATGCTATGAGAGCATAGTAAAAAAACGGAAATATATATATTTTCACAGAAAAGAAAGACTTAGTGCTTCAGTTACTGTATCTGATTCTCATTTAACCAGATTCAAGCAAAGGTTTGTGTCGTAAAAATCTCGAGAATTTGTCTCAAACCGTAAAAAAGTCTATTGTACCAATAAAAAATACTGTAATTGGATTTTTAAGCATTTTCTTTTACGATCATGTCTTACTACTATTTTACATGCTTCGTATACTTCCCTTTCAGCTAATTACTAGATTAAAACTTTCCATCTAAAATTAATTAAAGAATAATAAAAGAATAAAATTTTTTAATCTTAAAAAACACGATTTATTATATCATTTCCAATTGTTAATTATTTGTAAATTTAAATCTTGTTAATTATTCTATAAATTCTCTCGACATTTTTTTCAAGAAAAGAATTTTGTATTAAAAGAAATGTCATTAAAATATAATAACACAATGACAACGTCGAGTATAATCGTAAGTCTAGAGCAATCAATATTTCTCGGTTGCAAAGTTCAGGTATCCTCGAGAAACTGACGATAATGAATGCGCGTAGGATGCATTTTAATCTTTCGCATCATCGACGCTTATCGATATTAAGGGATCGGTCCTTTTTTTTTGTTTCATGCGTCAAAGTGTTTTTTTCCAAGTGCGCGACATTCGCGTTCTGCGCCTGACACACCATGAGTCTGCGCGTGGTAAATTTCGAAAGGACTCGGCTGAACAGAGTATGCGAAAATCCTTCAGTCTATCACCGACTTCCACCCCCTTGATGTTGCATTGCATTTCAATAAACGTAATAAGAAGATCGTAAAATCGTGCGATAACAGTTAAACGAAAACGGCGATAGTAGCGTGAAAACAGATTAAAAGTTCTTTGATAAATACGGAAGGAAACTTCTCACGTAAGTATGTGTTACATATTTATAAATGTATAATCACGAATAAATAATCAATTTTTCATTAAATTCCTATTATACATTAATCACTTTTAAATTGCATTTATATTAGCATGCAATACGCGTAAAATAATGCATAACGATGCTTGTATTTTTTAAATAATATTAAATTGTTTTCTTTCGCGGAATTAGCATACATATAGTGCTTGTTTCTAAGCATCAATTGCATTGTGTATCACGATTAAGGCAAGTTTATTGCATCCGATATACATTAAATGCATTGTATATCGCATATCGCGACTTATATAGATCCGGTTAATTATTAAGCTTTAATTGCATGTTATGTTTTTTTGTTTGAATGATTGATTAGTATTATTAACACCGTTATAAATAATATTGTTGCTTTTATGATATAAAATATATTTTTTTAAATAAATATAAAAACAAAAATTTAAGCAATGTGTGAATCTAAGTATTCAAAAAGATTATTTACATAAAATAATTAATTTTAATTAATTTAAAATTAAAAGAATAAAAAGAATAGGTAACCATCTTTGATCATTTTCGGATTTTTTTGTATGAGTGTTGCTCTACTTATTTTTTGTTGTATATCAAAAAAATAATCGTGCTTATTATATACATATATTTTATTTAAAGAATTAATTTCATAAATTTTTATTGATTCAACCACATGAAATACATTATACACATATATATGTTTTAATCTTATTGTTAGCATAATAATCACATCATCTTTCTGTAATTATTAATTGTATATTTTAATATTTGGTATAAAATTCAAGATAATATCCAAATTATTTAAAAGTGCAAACAATTAATTTTTTTTTAAAATATATATTACGATTTTCTAGTTCATATAAATTCCACTGGGTTGGGAATAAAATTCAGCCGTCAATGGATTAAGCAGTATATAAATATAATGTTATTTTTTCCGAAAAAAACTCGTCCCTCAAAGAATTAAATGAAATTAGACACATTTTTATATTTGTGTCGGCGGATGGGGATTTGCACTGTCGTTCCCACCCCATTTCTGAAACAGGCACCACTCTAATTTTCACCGAAGCCTTATGCTTGTTCCAGGTGGATTTAATGGTCCATTTGAGTAGAAATAAAATAAATGTTCTTAACAAATGGTAAAACCATCTGTTCTAAAGAAAAAAACACGAAGCAGAAACATATTTTATTACATGTAGGAATCTATAATTTTTTTTTTTATATGTTTTTTATTTTATTTTATCTTTTTAATTTTATCACAATTATTTTCTACAAATTTCTTACTTATATAAAATGCCCCGTCTTTTCATTAACATTAAATGTTAACAACAAATATTTTGGCTAATTCGGAGTCAATATTTTATTACGGAAAATAAGAATTAATTATGTAATGCAAATTTTTCTAATTCTTGAAGTTATTTATATTTTTAAATTATATTAACACCTACTTGATATTAATGCGACAATATTCCAGGTAGTAAATACACGTCATTTGACGTCAAAATAACGTTATTTGACGTCCAAACGATGTCATTTGACATCAAAATCACATGCGCTTGCTAGCTGGGATAGCTTTATTACACCTGATAATTTATCGAAAAAAGAATGTACTTTTCAATTGCAAATTATTCAAAAACTATTAATCTGAATTCAGAAATGTTTAAGAACTATTAACTTGTTTGGACATGTAGAGTAGAAAATAATGGACTTGAAATTGGCCAAAAATCCATTATTAAAAGATAATATGCAAGATTTACATATATAGAAGCGGAACTCTGTAATAAATATTTTAGCTTCCGGCATAAGAACGAATTGTTCGACTTTCGGCACAGTTGCCTCATTTTATTGATCCAATGATTTGGCAAAAATGTTTTATTGCATGTATGGAGACACGTGAGAGGAATTTTCTGGTCATTCACATACGAGCAAATGACGAAAACAATGGGAGAAAATCCATCCCTTTCGCATCAGTGGGTTATCACAAACACATACCCACGCTTATCTTCTCTCTCTTTTATATTTTCCACACTTCTATTCGCGAAAGCGTTTATGTTCCTATTTATCTTGACGAATAGCCCTAATTTCATCAGATGACGAAAGATGTGAAAAGACCTTTATCAAATCATTGATCATACGAGATGCAACACGTGTCGATGATGTCGCACCTACGCTTGGGTGGAAGTTGCGAAAAACGAAAAGGGAACTTCGCGCTGTCGGCTGTTAGAACTTTCAGGCAAAACACGCATCAATCTTTCTTATCGTCGACATACAAAACAAGCTCTGGCAAAATATTGGTGTATTCAATGGCGATAGAGACTAATTGAGTGACCAAAAAAAGGATACACAAACAAAAAATATGTTTCTTCTAAAAAAAGAATTAATTAAAAGAATTAATCTAAATACTTTTTATACGGATTTATCTTATAATTAGAAAGTAGTATTGAAGAGAGATATAATTTGCAACTTTCTATATTACATTATACGCAGTGTGTTGAGATCAACGACCTACGCAAAATGAAAAGAGATTTGTGTAATCTTTTCAAGGTGCCTTGTAGAAAATCATAATACCCTTGAGTTATCTCACACAAGCTATCTCACAGAATATCTGAAGAAAATGTTTCAAGATATGCTAATGTATGTGACCACTGTCATCTATTGATGTATACCTTATTTTTTTTTTTTTATAACGTCCAAGATATTCTTAGAACATCGCTAGGGATTTAAACCCGGAATAAGTTAATCTATTTTTGTTTCTCTGGATTTAGTCATATCAGAAATGAAATATTATCTTTTATTATCTTAGAAACACAAAATAAAATCTTTCAAAGATAAAATATAAATTTTCGTAATAAAATTTTAATTGAAAAATTCTGTTCCGGCGAAACAATCTGTATATAGTAGAAAATCGACGGTATTTACGTATTGCATCTTATATATGTATAAGATACAATACATAAATACCGTCGATTTTCTACTATATACAGGTTGTTTTGCCGGAATAGAATTTTTCAATAAATATATATAATTTTAATATATATATCAATATACATAGAATAGAATATATATAGAAAATAGTTAATTTAAGTGGTGTCTCTTCCCCTTCTCTTCATCCAATCGAGATTTCTTTTAACAGATAAATATGGGTTTTGCTTGATTAATCCTATGGCATTTCTAATGGGTACGATAAATATGCGTTCTAATGATTTTATCTGTCGCCCATGCGCGTGTATATCATTGATTCTAATCTGTTAAAAGGAATCTCGATTGGATGAAGAGAAGGGAAGGAGGTACCATTTAAATTAACTATTCTCCTCTCAATTTTGCGACAGAAGCATCCACTCGGCTTTTATACGAGCTATTGAAAAATACGCAAAATTACTCGAATTGCCTGCAATTTACGGTACTGTAATGATTATGTGAATTTGATATAATATATTCATAGTTTTACCAAAATTGCTATAGACTCAGGAAAAAAAGAGATATGTTGTCTATGGCAATGAGAATATCAAGAAAATTAAATACAGAACTTCTCGGTTCTGTAACATAAGTAATATATATCATCAATACATGAAAAAAAAATAATAATAATAACTTAAAAATATTTAACAAAACTAAAAAAATTAAAAATTTTTGAATATTATTTTTTGTCCAGTATTAGTTTTTATTTTAATACAAAGTCTAACTTTAAAAGTAAAGGATTTATTTCAAAATGTCGATAATATAAGGGCAAAAAATACTAACTTTTATCTCTCCCTCGCTTTCTCTCACTTGTTTAATTCTATTTTCGTTATCGCGAGAGAATCTTTGAAAATAGAATAATGTTATGTTTTGTATCAGCTTAATAAAAATAGCATTTGACTGATTGAAGATGATTTACATATTAATTAATATATGAATTACATACATTGAATTTAATCCTTTCGCACATTAATAAGCAATTAATGCTATGGATATCTTCGAATAATTAGCAAATAATTATCCGAGAAGTGATAATACAAAACCAAATGCGGTTTTTGTTAAAATAGTCTAAAGCATCGCGTCACTGTCCCAACTTATCTGTCCATGCTTATCTGAACCGTGCGCTACAACGATGTGCGTATTTTATACATCAAAGTAACGAAGTCTATCGATTCCTCCTTCACCTAAACTGCGTATCATTTACCCTTGGGAGGATATTTATCACCCGCGAGACGTGCTACTGTTACAATACTGAAATGGGACAAGGAAGAAGGGTAGAGTTCTGCGAGTTTACAGCTAGTCTCGGCAGACGACATCAGCTTTTAACAAATTTAATACGATTTATAAGGGATATTCTTCGAGACATCTCAATATTAAAGCTATAGATATCGGAATAAAGAAATTTATTGTTCAAGTAAATACGTGATTTTGCCTGATTCCAAAATATTAAAATATCCTTTCGAATATCAAATTTTATATTTAAATATTTGTTGATATCGGATATAAAATGTTTATATTATTTCACAGTAAAATTTATCAGTAAAATGCAAAACAGATCGATCGCACGCGTATATAATCTGGTACATGTTTCGAAAGTATTATACTCTCTCTCTCTCTCTCTCACATTCAATTTCAAAATATAAATACACAATATTAATTGAATTTATTTGTTCAGTTGCGTTAAAATGAAATAAACATATATGAAAGAAAATATAGTTCTATTAATAAATAATATTCTAAGTATTATAAATATCTGTAGTTGACTACATTTGTCAAAATAATATTTTCTTTTATATGTAACATTTTTGTGATAAGAGATAAAAATTGGTTAGATTGTATTAGTCCGTTGTGTTTTTAGAAATTTAGCGAATGTGTCAAATTCTTCTTCAATTATCACCTAGTTGCACAAGAGAAGATGCGATCATCATACATATTGTTTTTCTCGTAGCGTTTATCTTCCTCCAATTAAACTCTCGATGCCCACGTACTTTCTAATATAGTTACGTTCCAATATATTTTTTCACACGAGCCTTCGATTGTTAACGGCTAATTAAACCTATTATTGTTCATATTTTTTCATACTTTATTGCGTCCCAAAACGTAAACTAAGCAAAGTTCTACACTACGCGGTAATAAAGTGTTTGCATTTTTAAATTTAAAAAGCAATTAGAGCAAGGAAAATATTTATCAAATGTGCATTAGCTTTTTTTAACTTTTAACATGCATATCGCATCTGCCTTACATCCTGTGCAATAATAAATATGTTTTCTATATAGAATGCTCGATAAAATTCACTGCAAAAATATTTGTTTTATTACAAACTAAAATAACTTTATCTATTAAAATTTAATGTGAAATTATATTTTTTTGCCACTTTTAAAATTATAATATTAAATTGTATAATAAATATGCATCGATTCAACTAAAATAATTTTACCTATTAAAATTTAATTTAAAATTATATTTCTTCGCCGTTTTTAAAATTATAATATTAAATTGTACTAATAAATATGCATCGATTCGAGATGCTATTGAGAGAGAGAGAGAGAAAGAGAGAGAGAGAGAGAGAGGCAAAGTCTATCTACAATTTACTAAAATATAATATCTTATTATCTATTTACACTCCTAAAGCGCAATTTGCAAAAATTTCTTTCTTCCTTACTAATCACTTACTAATCACTTACTCAAAAGCTTCATGTTTCTATCTTTTTGTTAAGAAAGAAATTATTTCAAATTCCCATATAAGAGCCCATGTATTAAATGTTACTAAAAATCATCTATATCATTTCGTATAAAGATACGTAAAGAATCGCTAGCGATCAATCTTTCTTGTTGTTTGTTCGCTTTTGTTTGTTTGCTTCTATCCTAACTTGAATGAAATCAAAGACGTAGAAGTCCATTTGCAGTCTTTTTGGCAACTCCTTTTACGAAAAATCAAGTTACTTATTACGAAACCCGTATTGAAAACGTTTATAACGTAGAAATACTGACAAAATGTAGAAATATCATATATTCTCTACGATTCTCTTATAAAAACATTCTTGCAAATTAAATTTCAAGAATGCAAAAAAATAACAAAATTTTCTAGATTTATCGCAATCCTTTTTTTCTCTTACGATTTCTTTGATCAATTTATGAGAAACCAAATTTTCGAAAAAAAAATTTATTTCAATGCTGTTCTTTCACATTATTCTATTTTGAAATCTCTTCTTATAACAAAATCTTTATTTAAATAGCGTTAGAAAGTTAAACACACACATGTAGAAGTTAAAAAACTATTATGTGAAAAAGTATAGTCTCTCTTATGTTATATTTTTTTTCATGAGAAATTTAATTCATAATTATTTTCTAAAGACTTAAAAATTGTTGCATTCTATATCAAGTTTTTTAGAAAACAAATTCACCTTGATCAAGACGGTATGTTAATCCACAAAATAAAAGGAATATGAGAAACCTAAAATTTGTTTCCATATACGTTCAAAGTTTAAAATAAAAGAAAACCACACAACTCATCTTGATACAATACGCAATATATAAACACAACGCCGAATATATACCACAGATTATCTGGGAAAAGTAAAATGCTCTTTGTCCTCCAATTTAATTCAACCTGAAATATTCGCGGCTGTTGTTTCATTAATATTTGTCTCATCGTGGGAAAATTCAAGTCGCAGAGAATCAATCTTCTTTTACACCGCGCGCAATATTAATAATTTTTTAACGGCTCGAGTTTTCCTTTTATGATCATTACGTTCTCTATTCCTCAAGCTAATAACATTATTATTTTTTCTGTAAAATTTATTCTTCCTCTCGAGATATTGCCTTCCCTCCTTATTTCTTTTTTCCCAACTGTTGCTTTTAATTTGCTACAAGATTTATTTCGTTTTCAACTATTCTTTTTCTCGCTATGGACAGATTAGATAAAAAAAAACATCGTGGTTAGAAATAACTCGAAACATTAATCTTTTTATTATAAAAAGAAAACGCATTAAATTAATTCAGTTCACGACATTTTTTTCATAGAATAGAAAAATTATTTTCATAAATAAAAATAAATTATATTTATAGTATGTCGATAGAGTATTTCATACATTATTTCAGATTCTTCTGCTCATTTGAATTCGATTTTTCCGTAGCAAAAATATCAAAAAAAGTAATTCAATATTATAATTTTCTAATCATTATACATAATACCATATATTGTATTTATCCAAATTATTTAAATTAAAGTTAAGTGATAATTTTTTTTTTTTTTGATTTCTCAGAAAGATAATTTGAACTCTTAAAAGATGCTTTCTAAAATATCAAAAAAATTAAAACTTTATCAATTATCGACATAAGTTTGAGTTCACAAAAATTACAAAGTACCACACGAAGATTTAATAAAGTGGATACGCAAACTTTCGAGCTTTCGTCAGCTCTCGAGAGAATAACGTACTCAGCTCTTTACAGATTATTCCTCAGATTTATTCTCGCGCTTGGATAACGATTTTCTCGTAAATTATGATCCCTTTCTAAGGTAGTTATCGGATCTGAATATTAACGATAACTGAGAACGGAAAATTTTCGACACGTCGGGTTCACGAGTGCTAAGACTAACAATAAAAATCAATGCACGAAATTCTTTGTATACGGATCATTGAATATGACGTAATTGATTTTTCAAAACTTTTTATTTCCTTTGCAGAAGGGAGTGCCGTGAAATAAAAAACCTGAAGAAACAAAAAGGTATTATTGCGTTTTCTACCTTCCAATAACCAGAACAGTTGAAAGTTCGAGTCACTGATGGATAAAAGGTTTCTTAAAGTAATCAAAGGAAAGAACAGGGAAGAACATAAATCACAATATTTTTTTCGAACAGAGCCTTGAATACGCACGAAGTGTAACCAGTTGTTCTTGAATCTTTAGATGCTCAACTTCATAAGATGCGTTATTCAAAATAAATGATTTGTATTAATGGAAAGATGAATATATAACATTAACAGAACTAAATATAAAAACAAATTTTATGATAATGACGATATTATTATGCAGCGCCTAAGGAAATTTTTGCAGAACAACACATATATAGCGCGTTAAACTTTTCGATCTCTGGCACCGCTATAATTGATCGTTGTCTGAGAAGTTTTGATGAAATCTATGAGTATGCCAATAGACTCCACAAACATGATAATAATTAATGAATCGGCGGCGCAAAGCGCGAATATATCGAATCAGAGCGGCAATGTCGATGGTGTATTATATCTATATGGAACACCGCCGCTGATTCTCTTCTGTGTCATTTCAATAGCCGTAAATATCAAGGTTCTTATAAGCGTGTTTTGGATAAGACGCCCGCTCAGTCCGACGTTGTACATCAGTTTAAGTTTAGCAGGTAATACAATAATATTTTTTTATGAGAACTAAATTGTGATATTTTTTCTCTCTCTTCCATTTTTCTGTTTTATAAACTTTGCGTTATTTTAAATGAAAAAAAAAAAACAGAGAGCTCATCTTTGAATATATAATGTTTCTTTTAATAGCTAAAATGGATCAATGAAGTCTTTGACTCTTTTTCAGTCCCTTTAATGAAGATCCAATAAAATCCCAATTTTTTACTGTGTGATTATCTTAAGCCTCAATATTAACTATGTTGGTAATTAAAATTTAACATGAATTAGCTTTTTAAAGTTAATTTATATTAAAATTGAAATTATAAGCAACCAAAGAGAAAATTAAGAAAACATTTGAAAATAACTAAAGAATAATGGTTCATCATGTATACCTAACAGTAAATTTTTGATAAATCTAAGACACTCCTTGCGCATAACTATGTGTATTGCTCCTAATAATTATTTTTATATATGTTTTCAATATCTTTAACACGTTTTTTATGCATTTAATAACATTCCACATTTTTTTAATATTTAATAAAACTAGATATAAAAATTTTTCTTGAAGGATGTATTGAAAATAATATTTCATATGGGTGATAAATCTTAGTTAATATAATTCTGCAATAAAAAGTATTTAAAAAAAACCTATATCTAAAAATCATATTGTACTTCTAGGTGCAGATGCTTTTTCCAGCACTGCTCTAGGCATAGGACTAATCATGAATAGTTTCATACCCAATGGTCTTGGAATTAAATTGAAAGGTAGGATCTGGTTGATGTGAAACATTGTCGTAATTAAATGTTAATTAATTAGAAATAGATTTCGTACATAACTTCACAAACTTCGAACATAATTCCATTTAGAAATTAAATAACTACTAATAGATTTAAAAAAAAAACTAGATTTTTATTAGCAACATTTAAAAAATAATTTTAAAAAAACTGATACATATATAAAATTATTTTGAATTATAATTATAATGACTTTTTCAATATATTGATAGAAATTCTTTCTGCCTATTTTCGAATCAATACATTGTAGAACAGACTGCATAAATGTAAGATTCAGTACGTGCTTGTGTGTATGTAAATAAATGTTTTACAAATAAAAACAAATCAAAGAACGCATCACTTTTAGGTGTAGATTGTTTTTTATTGGTACTCGAAGTTGTGAGATTGGGAGGAGTGATAATTACTGTATTTCACCTAATGGCTTTAGCTGTCAATCATTACCTGGGTATTCTCAAACCACTCCACTATCTTTCGATTCTGACGTACAGGTAATATCATTTAGTTTATCGAAAATCTATTTCAGCAATACACAATCAAATTTTTCTCTTTCTTTTAAGGAATACCACGATTTTATTAGTTTTGCTATGGGTGCTACCAATTTCTTTTTTCGCGGTGTATTTTAATTTAGTTGAAGATGACGGTTTTCAATCTGAAGGATGCAAAAAAAGTGTGTAAGTACCGTTAAAATTACTATATAAAAATCCTTTTCACGTAATGTTTCCGTTTATAAAATTCACTTCCAAGTTCACATTTTTTAAGAAGTTTAATAAATTATAAAGAAAAGCAGGAGCGGTAGAAAAAAATTATTTGATTTACATCTATGAAACTATATAATATAATTGTAAAATTATGAGTCATTATTCTACAAGTACATTGTGTGCAAGTAAGCCATCACAACTCGTGATAGGATATGCCATAATATATGTATGAATATAATAAAATTTTCACTATACTTTCAGATTTCTCTCTCACAAGCAATTTCGAATGTTGTTCAGTAGTCTTTTTTTCGGACCCTTTGGTCTGATGGTCTGCATTTACATACACATATTCTGTATAGTAAAAAAACATCAAGCCATGAGATTACGCTTTTGCAGAGCAGGTTCTTCTGTTCGTGGAAAAACAGCGGAAGCAATGCGTAACAATTCTAAACAAATGGCACGGAACGTTAAAGCTGTCCATACAACTTTATACATACTTGGTAAGAAAGAGTGAGTTACATATAATGTATAATTTAATAACAGGAACAGTTATACAAGATGCAATCATATCAAATTTTATAATAACACAAATGCAATACAAAATATATTATACATGTGGAATTTATTTTCTTTAAATTATATATTTATTAAATAAAATCCGAGCTTTAACGACACCGTACGCACTTTTTAAGGAAGCTTCGTAATCGGCTGGATGCCTGGGGTAATAATGTACATGTTGTTCTGTGACGACTGTATATTGCAATTAAAAGGGGTATCGATGCATACCAAATTCTTCATCTACGCCGTAATTAACGGTCTTATTATCCTGAAGACTTTGGTCAATCCCATTATTTATGCAGCCAGAATGCATGAGATTAAGGTAAATCGTCTACTTTATACAGTATATAATATTTAATATATGTATTACATAATAATTTTAAAAATGTATATTTCATTAATGTATCAATATTGTGTGATTGAATGATTAGAAAAAAATCGTATAAATTCATTTTTTTTAAATTCAGTATTTCAATCTTTTAATTGTTAGATGCAGAAATAACGAATCCAACTGATCAAAATTTTATTGCAAATTAAAAAGTTTGTAAAAAGCTTGCCTATCAGATTTTTTAGACAAATATGAGTTTGAAATTTAGGGAAGAGTATCTTTTCAGATCGCCACGAAGCGAATGCACAACGCTTTCTGTGAATGGACGACGCTCACCAATTTTACTACTAACCAAGGAATTAATAGAATGTACAGCAGCGAGGAGAGCAAACATTCGCAATCAAGAACCGGCACTTGTCGATTATTCCATAATATAAGCATCCGAAAAGCACGAAACGGAAACACGTACGTGTGTGCGGGTTATAATACACACGAATACGGTAACACGCTTGTATAAACCGCGCGATATGCGAGAGAAAAATAGAGATACATGGCAAAAATATTTTTTTGCATATTTTAGAAGTCATGTAAATACGAAGTACAATTAAACGAGCGAAATAGCAGCTATAAAAATCTTTTAATAGTGTATTAAAAATCTTATTATTTTATTTCTCTATTTTGGTCTTCCTTCCGTTATTTTGACGTTGCTATAACGACTATTCCAAGTCAGTACGTTGTAGCTATTTTTCGTATTTATGTAAATTTTTGTAAAAAATTTATGGTAGAAATTATTTCGTTAAAATCACACTTAATAAGTGTACTTGGTGACAATATCTCAGTATTTTTTGCAATCATATTCGTTTGTTATACTACGCTCGGAGTCGAATAGACTTCTATATATATATGTTCCATTACAATTTTAATAAAATACATAAATTGAAGTATTTTGTAACACGGTGACATATAATTTTATTTCGCAATATTTTTTTAATTGCATAATACATTAGCATGATCTACATTTTATATTTGCGTTTGAAATTTATTGATAGAAATAGGATTTCTAAACAAACAAATAAAAAAAAAAAAACCAAAATTATCCATCCAAAATATCTCGTTCTAGGTATATATGTATATATCCTATTTCTATATTTTATAAATATATACTAAAAAAATGGAACATATAGAATTATCGTATTTTAAAAATTGCTCAAAATATATCAAAACAGCAAGATTAAATAACACGCGTGTCTATCGAAACTGATTATATTCGATTTCTACGTTTATGACAGGTATTTATTTATTATTATGTGACTTACCGACCATCCACGGCATCGATAATTTCTGCTCTAATGCCAAGTTCGTCGAAAAGTCTGTGCATTCTTTTACGTCTTTCCGGTCTTCTTAAAAGGTTAATCATGTATATGTGATCCAAACCCAAGGTGTCCTTCTCCGGATATATCACGAATTCTTTCAAATCGTCCGATAACGGCAAATCGTTGAATGCTGCACGAAAGATACGCAAATATAAATTAACCAATTAACATATTCAACATGACAATATTATATATATATATATAATAGATATATCATTTTTTCCGTACTCATTATTCGCATATTATGTACATACAAAAAAAGAATTTTAATGAAAAGATGATTTATTGCGAAAAACGCTTAAATCAGTTCATCACACTTAAAATTTAGATTTATTTAATAATTAATCTTAATATATGTTAAAATTAGTTATGCTCTATTTTTGTGTATTATATATATATATATATATATATATATATTTTATTCGTAAATTGGCTTAATTACAAAGTTCCCGCACGTAAGCTTGCGTCGCGTATCGCGGTAGCGGATATCTTGGCGTGCGCGTGTCTGGAGTCGAGTTTCGGTCGCGAGACTTACTCCTCGATCTCTCGTAACTTATCTCTGTCGACTATGTGACTTTATTTCAATAGATGCCCGTCTTTTTGTTTGTGTTATATATATATATATATATATATATATATATATATATATATATATATACTAACTAATTTTAAGATACGTTAAGTTCAATGAAAGATTTGTCGAAAAGTTCAATGAAAAAAAATGTTAAATAACTAACTCTAGTTATACATATATGTATATACATGTATATAACTAGTTATTTTGTTACAAATTATCATATTCAACATACACACACATATTTATGTAGAAGTAAACTTACCCAATATTTCCACTTTTGTATTGGTCAATCGTTGCATATCTTCCGTGATAGTTTCTTCATTTTCTAGAGGCACCATGATGAAACCGTAAATTTCATTACACACGAATAATGGCACATCTATGACATAAATACGATATGTTGTATGTACCATATAAACACAAATCTTTTTTTTCTTTTACAAAATTTATGGTAGAAAAAAATCAAATTTTTCATTGAACTAAAGTGAACAAAACAAAAGTCAATAATTTCGAATAATCTATAATTGATAAGTGAGTAATTTTATTATCAATTATAGTAATAATTTTACCTATATGATAAAGCGTTTAATATAAGTGTGATATAAATGAAACGATTCCAAATATTTACCCGATTTATTTGCTCCTATGGCGAAAATTATAATATCGTCCTCAGGTCCGTTATAGGCGATCAATTCTTCAGACTTGTAAGTCAGACGATCGGAATCGTATCTTCTTAGATCTATAAGTACTGCGCTATGGACCATAGGCACGTTATGACATCCGGTTTTTTCGCGAAGTAAGATCGGTTCGTAGAGATCCGTTCGCATATAATAATATTCCCTCATTCCAGCCCAAAAATTACTATACAAGCCATCCGATCTCAATAAAGGTGCCACGACAGTATATCCCTTAAATACCAAGTCGCGTATAGTACTCGAATTTGTCAAAAAAACATCAGCATCTAGCATCTGTCAAAAATTATATTTTTCTTCGATAAATTTTTAATCGTTTGCGAATATGTTAGATAAAGACGAAAAGATGATATATTTGCAAAAATAATGTATGTTTGTGAAGAATTTAACGCTCGTAAATTTATAAATTTTTATGATAATCGAAGCAAAATTAATGTGACAAAAAAAGATTCATAACATATGTAAGTGTAAAATGTAAAAAATGTAAATGTAATATATAAAAAATAACGCATCTACACACATCATACAAATAACAGCGAGTTAATAAAACTAATATTTTATGCGATAAATATCTCGAGCTGTTGAAATACATATTATCTATAATTTATATATAAGAGAATTTTCAGCTCATAGTTAACTTTGTATTAATATTAAACTATTAATATATCTTTGTCGTGGAGAAAATATATTCGCGCATCAATTATTCATGCAAAAAATAATAATTTATTCTCTCAAAATAAATTAAAGAGATTATTAAGATTAAAAAATATGTTCACCCAAATGAAATCTGCCCATATTTGTCTCGCATGATTGAGCGCTTGTTCACGCAAATCTATCACGTGCGCAAATCTGCGGGGCGACCAATTGGCAAATGTTCTCTCATCCTCGAACCTCGTTGATGTTGCATTTAACTGAACATTCAAGGAATGATACTTTTCGCCTTCTAAACTGATCCATTTATTCAATATCTCTATAGATCTATCGACATTATTATCGCTGCGTATCCTAAAACAATCAGTGTGTGAAAAATCGTCTCATCGTGATTATGTTCTGTATATGTTATATATAAAACTTGATATAAATAAATCGTATTATATCAGAAAATTTTAATCGCAATAATATAACACATTTAAGATGGAGTATAAATTCAAATGAGTGTATATATATGTATGTGAGAATTTATTTTTTTCAATAGTCTAATTTTTTTATATTCTCGTTTCTGTTTATATTGTATAAATACTTATTCAACGATAGAATTGTCAAAGAAACAAAATTTAAAAGAATTAGGAGCGATACTTACAGATTGATTACATTTTACAATGAAAGATGCGTGAAATAAATTCGAGCGGAACAATGGAGTTCTTGCGCAGTCGTCGCGTGACGTCATATGACGTCAGGTATAGGCTGCGTTCAGAAATATCATCCATCATGCACACGGGTGATGTTTCCAAACGCAGCCATACTCGCATGCGCACCTATTATTGATAGTTCGTAGATAGACCGTTTACCTACGCTCACCTTTTGTCACTTTGTGCGGAGGTATGAAATGCGATACTGCACGATATAATTCCGAACACGCCGCGTTGATTGCGCGACTGGCGGGCAACTTCAAGTTTATAAATAATTTTGTTTGTAAATAAAATGAGACGAAGCGTAAAAAATGCGCTAACATAAAATTCCATCAATACGATTTTCCGGACGATTCCAACGAACAGGGATTTAATTTAAGGTAATTTAAATTAATTCTCCTTCTCTCATACGTTTATTATTAAAAACATTTAATCTCGCCAAATATAACAATTATAAAGCAATTTATTATGGGAGATGCGTAAATATTTTCATCGAATTTACGCTTAAATTGAAATCTTGATTAACCTGCGCCGATTAGTTATTTGATTGTTAGTGTATCAATATTTATTACGTCGATGAATTTAAATATTTTCATATATAAGTTTCTCTGGCAATGTCGTTGCCGGCACGTAGGAGTAAAGTAAGGTTATGTCTCGTTACTCACCAGAGACATATTCGTTTCTTGGGATAATCTTGTCGTTCCAACAGACTCAGAAAATACGGTAATGTGTGCGCTTTATTCCTGACTAAAATAGCAATCAGCACAGTCGGTTCCTTCGAAAGTACATCGCACGCAGCAAACCACGCGAGACTAATAACGAAATAAATAAGATAGTATTTTCGAAGTATCATCGTGTAAAGTTAACGCACGTATAAAGTCGCGTGCGTTTCTCGACGCGGTCTATTAAGATTTAAGTGCAGAAACAAATTATGCCAAGAGACGACCCGATGACCGATGACATGATCTTTTCTGTTGCTATTATCACAAGCACGTGGGCGTACGCAATCGGTAAAGCAGAAAACTCTGTGCAATAAATCACATAATTTAATCATTTTATTTTATGAATATCTTTTATATATAAATATATACATCTCCTTATTCTTTTTCTATGTAATGTATAAAATATGATGATTTTTTTTAGGTTCTGTAGAAAATATTGTAGAAATTTATACAAAATACATTTCACTTAAAATATAAATTGTTTGGCGAATGTATTTTCTAATGTAGTGTTCGTAATTTTGGTAACAAGCTATTATTACTATTATCATTATTCAACTTTAGGAAGAGTTTCTTTTCCTTCTTTTGCTTCCTCTGATTTTGTTTTCTTCTTTTGTACATAACTGAGTCTGGTTTTGTCAAATTCCAGAACCGTTATGCCCAAATCTCCACTATATCGATTCTTTGCAACCTAATGTGATACAATAAAATAATGTTATAGTATTACTTATTGTTGAAGATGTACTTGTATAATCTATTTGCAGACATATACCTGCAAATATTTCTTTCCTCGTAGATTAGTAAGCCTTTTATCTTGTATAATTAATACATTATCAGCTTCTTGGCTTGCTTTAGCACTGCCAAAAATAGATAATGTCGTCAATTCTTCCTCTCGTTCTTTTCTTGGATGTATAACCAGAGTAACATGGCAATTATACTTTGTAGCAAAATTTCTAAATTCTGCTATGATTTTGTCCTGTTTCCAAAATCTATGACATAATGCTGTATAAATAAAATCAAGTTTTATAAAGAGATCTTTAAAACATTTGTCTCACCTATCCATATGTTTTGATTCATCCGATATGCCCATCATAAACTGCATATTGTCAATTATTACATGAGCTATATCATGCACATATGTTGCATGTTCAACTGCCTGACAAAAAAAGAATAAGTGTAACAGATATACATAATACTGATTTTTTCACTTATAGATCATTTGATATATGGTCATACATCCATAACAACTCTGATGTTCTGCTGACCATGAAAAGTCATAAAATAAATCGGCAATTTGTTGAAAGCATCTGCATACGTGTTAAACTTGTCCAAATTGTCTTCTAGAGACACCTCTGCCATTTGTTGTAACATAGTTTTGGCTAGCCGAGCATTCCTGATTTCAAAACTTCCCCATAATGTATTAACTCCTTGCATTGCTAAATCTAGTGAATACTCGCTCATAAATGTAGTTTTTCCACAACCTGAAAATATGCTAACATGTGAAAAAATATATCTAGTAATCCAAATGAAATTTATTTGCTATTTTGTTGTGTCTTAATATAGAATAAATTTTAATTAATGTACGACTATTACCAGTAGGTCCAGTTAGAATTGTAAACTCTCCTCTTCTATGTCCCTTTAAAATTCGATTTAGAGCAGGGTATCTTTTCCACTTTACACCCTGAACTTTATCTATATTTTGCAAATCACATAATACATCTTGCCTGAGATCATCGAAAGTAGTAATACTTTTATGCCATATCGGCTGCGCATTCGCCAAAATACTTTTAAGATCGTAGCCTTTGTCAATGGCTAGCTTTGGTCTAGGTTGCGTGTCAATTGGTCTTACAAAGTAACATCTCTTTTCATTTAATTTCTTAGCAAATTGTCTGGCTGTATACCAGCTAGGCTCGTCATTTCCAAACCATAAAATTAATTTCTTAAAACTTTCCAGACTTGGCAACAACTGCTGTGGTAAGTTCTGCAAATTATACGGCAAACAGATAATCACATTTGCAGCCTTTTGAGATGCTAATGCCAATAAATCATGTATTGTCGGCACAACCACTGCAGTTCCATCAGTTCTAGTGCCTTTTTGCTTGTAATTGATAAACCCACCAACATTGCTAATAGGTATGGTTTGTTCTAATTCTGATTTGCTAGAAAGAGTTTTATAACCAACAATACTGTTACCAAAGGCAATTAATGGAAAATATAATAACATAGGTGCAGCTGCATATACTCCATTTAATTGTGAGATGTCTTGTTGTGAAATTATCTATAACATTTAATATTTAATAATTATATTACGTAAATATATAAAGTTATACACATTGAAAAATATCTGTTAATTCAATTATCTTACTGGGAGAGAGAATGTATGTAGAACTTTCTCGTACAAATCTGGTGATAAATCTGCCACTTGCTGATTAGATTTTATTATATTATTCCATTCCGGAACATAATCTTCTTGAATTCTTATAGTATTTCTTAAAGTTTCCAATTCCTGTATATTATTCGTTTTGCTTGATTTTTTTGTTAACAATAAAAACTTTTCTAGTATGTTCCATTCACCTTTAGAACTACATTTATCACACATAAAGTAACCTTGAATAAAATAAGTTTTTTAAGAAAAAAAAGAGTTATTTTAATTGTATCTGTTTATATAAATTATATATTGTATATTTTATATTATCATTCCTTACCTGTTGTCTTATTAATATAAATCTTGGCCTTTTTTAATTTTTCAAAGTCACACATGGGACATTCTATAATTATACATGCATGTCCTTCGACGATAGAAATTTGTTTTTGTTTCAGACTCTGTTTTATTTGAGATATTGACACCCCAGGTACTGTTATTCATGCAAAAAATAATAATTTATTCTCTCAAAATAAATTAAAGAGATTATTAAGATTAAAAAATATGTTCACCCAAATGAAATCTGCCCATATTTGTCTCGCATGATTGAGCGCTTGTTCACGCAAATCTATCACGTGCGCAAATCTGCGGGGCGACCAATTGGCAAATGTTCTCTCATCCTCGAACCTCGTTGATGTTGCATTTAACTGAACATTCAAGGAATGATACTTTTCGCCTTCTAAACTGATCCATTTATTCAATATCTCTATAGATCTATCGACATTATTATCGCTGCGTATCCTAAAACAATCAGTGTGTGAAAAATCGTCTCATCGTGATTATGTTCTGTATATGTTATATATAAAACTTGATATAAATAAATCGTATTATATCAGAAAATTTTAATCGCAATAATATAACACATTTAAGATGGAGTATAAATTCAAATGAGTGTATATATATGTATGTGAGAATTTATTTTTTTCAATAGTCTAATTTTTTTATATTCTCGTTTCTGTTTATATTGTATAAATACTTATTCAACGATAGAATTGTCAAAGAAACAAAATTTAAAAGAATTAGGAGCGATACTTACAGATTGATTACATTTTACAATGAAAGATGCGTGAAATAAATTCGAGCGGAACAATGGAGTTCTTGCGCAGTCGTCGCGTGACGTCATATGACGTCAGGTATAGGCTGCGTTCAGAAATATCATCCATCATGCACACGGGTGATGTTTCCAAACGCAGCCATACTCGCATGCGCACCTATTATTGATAGTTCGTAGATAGACCGTTTACCTACGCTCACCTTTTGTCACTTTGTGCGGAGGTATGAAATGCGATACTGCACGATATAATTCCGAACACGCCGCGTTGATTGCGCGACTGGCGGGCAACTTCAAGTTTATAAATAATTTTGTTTGTAAATAAAATGAGACGAAGCGTAAAAAATGCGCTAACATAAAATTCCATCAATACGATTTTCCGGACGATTCCAACGAACAGGGATTTAATTTAAGGTAATTTAAATTAATTCTCCTTCTCTCATACGTTTATTATTAAAAACATTTAATCTCGCCAAATATAACAATTATAAAGCAATTTATTATGGGAGATGCGTAAATATTTTCATCGAATTTACGCTTAAATTGAAATCTTGATTAACCTGCGCCGATTAGTTATTTGATTGTTAGTGTATCAATATTTATTACGTGGATGAATTTAAATATTTTCATATATAAGTTTCTCTGGCAATGTCGTTGCCGGCACGTAGGAGTAAAGTAAGGTTATGTCTCGTTACTCACCAGAGACATATTCGTTTCTTGGGATAATCTTGTCGTTCCAACAGACTCAGAAAATACGGTAATGTGTGCGCTTTATTCCTGACTAAAATAGCAATCAGCACAGTCGGTTCCTTCGAAAGTACATCGCACGCAGCAAACCACGCGAGACTAATAACGAAATAAATAAGATAGTATTTTCGAAGTATCATCGTGTAAAGTTAACGCACGTATAAAGTCGCGTGCGTTTCTCGACGCGGTCTATTAAGATTTAAGTGCAGAAACAAATTATGCCAAGAGACGACCCGATGACCGATGACATGATCTTTTCTGTTGCTATTATCACAAGCACGTGGGCGTACGCAATCGGTAAAGCAGAAAACTCTGTGCAATAAATCACATAATTTAATCATTTTATTTTATGAATATCTTTTATATATAAATATATACATCTCCTTATTCTTTTTCTATGTAATGTATAAAATATGATGATTTTTTTTAGGTTCTGTAGAAAATATTGTAGAAATTTATACAAAATACATTTCACTTAAAATATAAATTGTTTGGCGAATGTATTTTCTAATGTAGTGTTCGTAATTTTGGTAACAAGCTATTATTACTATTATCATTATTCAACTTTAGGAAGAGTTTCTTTTCCTTCTTTTGCTTCCTCTGATTTTGTTTTCTTCTTTTGTACATAACTGAGTCTGGTTTTGTCAAATTCCAGAACCGTTATGCCCAAATCTCCACTATATCGATTCTTTGCAACCTAATGTGATACAATAAAATAATGTTATAGTATTACTTATTGTTGAAGATGTACTTGTATAATCTATTTGCAGACATATACCTGCAAATATTTCTTTCCTCGTAGATTAGTAAGCCTTTTATCTTGTATAATTAATACATTATCAGCTTCTTGGCTTGCTTTAGCACTGCCAAAAATAGATAATGTCGTCAATTCTTCCTCTCGTTCTTTTCTTGGATGTATAACCAGAGTAACATGGCAATTATACTTTGTAGCAAAATTTCTAAATTCTGCTATGATTTTGTCCTGTTTCCAAAATCTATGACATAATGCTGTATAAATAAAATCAAGTTTTATAAAGAGATCTTTAAAACATTTGTCTCACCTATCCATATGTTTTGATTCATCCGATATGCCCATCATAAACTGCATATTGTCAATTATTACATGAGCTATATCATGCACATATGTTGCATGTTCAACTGCCTGACAAAAAAAGAATAAGTGTAACAGATATACATAATACTGATTTTTTCACTTATAGATCATTTGATATATGGTCATACATCCATAACAACTCTGATGTTCTGCTGACCATGAAAAGTCATAAAATAAATCGGCAATTTGTTGAAAGCATCTGCATACGTGTTAAACTTGTCCAAATTGTCTTCTAGAGACACCTCTGCCATTTGTTGTAACATAGTTTTGGCTAGCCGAGCATTCCTGATTTCAAAACTTCCCCATAATGTATTAACTCCTTGCATTGCTAAATCTAGTGAATACTCGCTCATAAATGTAGTTTTTCCACAACCTGAAAATATGCTAACATGTGAAAAAATATATCTAGTAATCCAAATGAAATTTATTTGCTATTTTGTTGTGTCTTAATATAGAATAAATTTTAATTAATGTACGACTATTACCAGTAGGTCCAGTTAGAATTGTAAACTCTCCTCTTCTATGTCCCTTTAAAATTCGATTTAGAGCAGGGTATCTTTTCCACTTTACACCCTGAACTTTATCTATATTTTGCAAATCACATAATACATCTTGCCTGAGATCATCGAAAGTAGTAATACTTTTATGCCATATCGGCTGCGCATTCGCCAAAATACTTTTAAGATCGTAGCCTTTGTCAATGGCTAGCTTTGGTCTAGGTTGCGTGTCAATTGGTCTTACAAAGTAACATCTCTTTTCATTTAATTTCTTAGCAAATTGTCTGGCTGTATACCAGCTAGGCTCGTCATTTCCAAACCATAAAATTAATTTCTTAAAACTTTCCAGACTTGGCAACAACTGCTGTGGTAAGTTCTGCAAATTATACGGCAAACAGATAATCACATTTGCAGCCTTTTGAGATGCTAATGCCAATAAATCATGTATTGTCGGCACAACCACTGCAGTTCCATCAGTTCTAGTGCCTTTTTGCTTGTAATTGATAAACCCACCAACATTGCTAATAGGTATGGTTTGTTCTAATTCTGATTTGCTAGAAAGAGTTTTATAACCAACAATACTGTTACCAAAGGCAATTAATGGAAAATATAATAACATAGGTGCAGCTGCATATACTCCATTTAATTGTGAGATGTCTTGTTGTGAAATTATCTATAACATTTAATATTTAATAATTATATTACGTAAATATATAAAGTTATACACATTGAAAAATATCTGTTAATTCAATTATCTTACTGGGAGAGAGAATGTATGTAGAACTTTCTCGTACAAATCTGGTGATAAATCTGCCACTTGCTGATTAGATTTTATTATATTATTCCATTCCGGAACATAATCTTCTTGAATTCTTATAGTATTTCTTAAAGTTTCCAATTCCTGTATATTATTCGTTTTGCTTGATTTTTTTGTTAACAATAAAAACTTTTCTAGTATGTTCCATTCACCTTTAGAACTACATTTATCACACATAAAGTAACCTTGAATAAAATAAGTTTTTTAAGAAAAAAAAGAGTTATTTTAATTGTATCTGTTTATATAAATTATATATTGTATATTTTATATTATCATTCCTTACCTGTTGTCTTATTAATATAAATCTTGGCCTTTTTTAATTTTTCAAAGTCACACATGGGACATTCTATAATTATACATGCATGTCCTTCGACGATAGAAATTTGTTTTTGTTTCAGACTCTGTTTTATTTGAGATATTGACACCCCAGGTACTGATTCGTTTATTGTGCTACTAATGCTCTCAATGTGATACAAACGATGATAAAATGTCCGAAATTTATCGTATCTTCTTGCACTTAAAGGGCGCACCAATAATTTTAAAAACATTATTTTTTTTTGTCTGATAATAGAGGCTTTATTGACATCAGAATTACTTTGATTATCATCTAGCCACATCAAAATTGTTCTTCTCAGTAATGTATAATCGCATTTCGTTAATTTATCTTAAAGAACTCTTAAGAACTTTTTCAACGATAATTCACACAACTTTATAAACATTACTATAATACAATTCTTCAGACACTATCCAAATCATTAATGTAGATAATTTAAATCTCTTACAAAAGTTTACTATTATTTACATCATTCATGGATCACTTACACTCTTGTCGTGTAAGAATAAGAATAATGTTTATAGAAGCCGCGATAACTTTACAAAATTTTCAAAGCTAAGATTTTCACTGATAATGAATTGAATGACCATAATTAGTACACTATGCAGCATGCATTGATGATTATACTGATGATTGTAAATAACAGAACCGGCATGGCGTGTTTAAAGCACGTGGTGCATACATTGAGAAGCGGCGGAGGGGGAAGAAAAATCTGTTTTAGTTCTCTTTAGTCTTACACTTTCTGCTCTTGAAGTGTACTCAGGATCTAAAGAAAAACAAGAAGACATGAGAACTTTGAGAAAAAGTGCAGTTGAAGACGCCCGCTAATTTTATAAGATAATCTTTTAGTTCCCTAGATTGTTGATTTTGTGCATAGATAATAAAAATAGATTTTTTATTTTATCGTCACGATCAAAAAATTCGTTTCTTGTTTCAGTATTTTCTATCTTCTCTATTTTTCGGAGTAAAATAGTAGCGTTTGATTGATCAATCAGGACAAATTTTCGCTCCTCTTGTCCTGATTGGTCAATTAAACGCTGCTCTATTCCGACAAGTAGATTTACGAATGCAACCCTGGGTCTGTTATTTATAGCTGAACTGGCTGCACTAGTTCAGAGTATCTTTTTCTCTCCCCGTTGGAAGGAGAAAGATAAGCTCTGAACTAGTGCAGCCAGTTCAGCTATAAAGAACAGACTTCCTGTTTCGTGTGTCTCGTGTCCCTCGTGTCCGGATAAATTAGGTTAGCGTTATTATTCGATAACATATTCGTGGATATATTAACAGTTATTTTAATTAATATTGCTAAATTTGATTGTATAAATATAAACGGTCATACAGTATGGTTGTCTTTACTTGTAACCATTGCGGCGATACATTACAAAAGCCTAAAGTGGCTAAACATTATCAATTTAGGTGCCGAAATCCACCCTTTTTAACCTGTGCGGATTGCTTAAAGGATTTTCGGTAAGAATTTATATAAAAGTGTTGAATTAAAAAATCTTCGAATATATATACTAATTGATTTAATATTATCTACGTCACATAATATTACATACGCACGTAATTAAATGTTTTTAATATTTTTAATTATTTCAAGGGACGAGGAATATCTTGTACATACCAAGTGCTTAACCGAAGCCGAACGATACGGCGGAAAAGATTATGTTGCAAAGCCTAATGCAAATAAAGTTTGCGTCGTCAACAATTTGCTGAATGGAACGATAGATTTATCCAATGCGGAAAGAAACTTTCTTAATGCTTTATCGAAATATGAAAATATACCAAGGAAGAAGACTAAATTCCTTAATTTCATACGCAATGCAATGGGTAATCGTGTAAATATGACAATTGTGGAAGGCATTTGGGATAAAATGGAAACTGCATACAAACAACAAAGTCAAGAATCTGCTGCACATACTCAAAAACAAGATACTACACAAACTCTAGGACAAAATAATGGTGAGTAATTATAGCAGTTTAAGTTTATCAAACAACATTGAAACTCTTTCTAATGTATGTAGAATATAGATTATATATCAATAAATTATATACATAATAAAAAATAGATTTAATATATACATAAATATTGTTACAATAAATCTAATTGGAGTATTTGTTCTTTAATAGATAAGACAACAAACATAGATTCCAATCATTCGTTTGATAATCGGAATATTGTTGAGAATCAAAATAATGAAAATATATGCAAAGAAAATAATTCTTCAAAGCATCAAAATGGAAATGACAAAGCATGCGAAACTAATGGTGATAATGTGTGTAAAAAAAAATCTAAGAAACGACAATTGAAATCAACTAATGTTGAAATGCCAGAGGACCTCCAACCTGCTGTAAAGATTTCAAAAACATCCACTTTAGAAACGAATGAAAATGAAAGTAATAATAATCCATTTGATTGGAAAAAGACTATTTTAGATGTTGTACAAGCTAAAGATGAAGTATCTTTAAAAAAACTACAAAGCAAAGTTATTAAAAAATATATATCTCATGTTTCTAACATACATGATGTATGTAATCAGACTGACATAGAACGTGAAAAAGCTATTGTAAAGTTTAATAAGACATTGAAGAAGATGAAAAAAGCATCTGTAATATGTGTTCTAGAAGATACAGTAAAATTACCCTCCTTAGTCGAATAATCACTTTCCTGAAAAAGTATCAGAGAAAAATACAAAGTAAGTAATGCTATATAAATAATATGAAAGAGAGAAACATTTCATTCGGCTGTATACATAAAAAAAACTATCAATGCAATAAATCAATTTGCAAATAACATTTTTTATTTCATGTATTATATTTTCACTAATATATTTTTATAAAATATTTGAGTTTGTAATTTATAAAACTGTGAATGGCTATTATAACTTGATTTATTGTATAAAAGTCTATTTTTATACAACTATGAGAAATATATTTCTTACAATAAGTACTTAATAACAGTTATTGGAAGATATGTAATCTTATTGCCTATGACAGCATATTAATATTCATCACTTGGAACACAAACTTTATCACCATCAGAAACAATTTACTGTACACAGTCTCTCTTAATTTTTGCTTCATGTGTATTTTATTTTTAATTAATGAAAATCAGATGGAAAGTCATGTAAGAATTTTTTAGAATACCATGCGTGATCACTCATAGTCGCTAAAAGACCCTTTGTAAGTACTTTGGCATCGTTAGCTCCAAAATAAATTGGTTGTTGATCGTACAACTGTGTCACAGTTCCTCCTAAAGCACTATATTGAAAAACAACAAAACAAATAAATAGAATGGACAAATACTGAATAACTATTAAAATAATATACAGTAAAATATTTTAATAATAATACCTCAGAATTGCTGTGCCTGCACATATGTCCCATTTCTTGATAGCAGTTGTATGAACATAGGCTGTCGCATTATCAACAGCTACTTCCAAGAACTTATATCCTAAAATAAAACGTTTATTCTTAGTATAAATCCTTAATAATAACAAAAATTAAAGGTATGAAAAGAATAAAATAAGGCTACATGGGGTTAACAAAAAATAAATACATAATATATCAAAATCCTTAACAGCTGAAAATCCATGTTGTGTATAAAAATTATCATTTGTCTTATAAATCATCTTATCATTTAGCTCTATTCTCCTTATAAGTCTTACAGAAAGTAAATTACAAAAAAAAGTATGATTATATTTAAAAAAAAAAAAAAAATCTTTACCTGCACCAGCAGCAGAAATAATTTCAACATTGTTGCCAAAGGCAACTTTAGATGCATTTTTAACTTGTCCAGCATGTGAAAGAGATACAATCAGGACAGGTGTTCTATTATCCTTTGTCTGTTGAACAAAGATTAGTCAGGTAAAGTTTACTCCATTTCAATTATATACATCACTACCCCTTAATTGAATTATATTTTTAAATTCACATAAATTACCTTGGGCAAATTTTTCAAATTTTTTGATACGCCATGATTAGTCCATGTCCAGAATAAACTGTAATTCTGCTTCGTCTCAAATGGCTTATATATAACCCCAATAATTGGTTGTCCTTTCACAGCTACGCATACCATAGTAGATACATATTGAAGTAAATTTTCTAAAAATATAAAATATTGTAAAATACTTCAATTTTAACTTTTATAAAGCAACATGATAAGAAGATAAAAATGCAAAACTATTGAATGTCTTTTTAGATACAATTTCATAAAAAGGATTGAATTGCTTTGTTCAATAAAAATGTTTAATAATTGCAACAAGGACATTTAGTAAATTTGAAGATTCTTTCATAAAAACAGAATATTTTAATAACTTTCGAATTTTGTATCAAACTCTATTGTGTCTATAAATTATTAAATCATTCATTTAAGGTAAGAATAGGCTTTACCCACAATTAATATTTCTGATTGTTTATAATATGGATTTTATACTATTACAGAACTGTATGTGTGAAATAATTGTCTATCTGTGTCTTATGTCCATAATCTATTTTTATTGATTTATTTGATCCTGAAAATAATTAATGCCTCTTAATAGACAAAAATATTGTTATCAAATTGCAATTACAGGTAATATTTTTCTCATATCCACATTACCTAAATTTTTAATATCTTCTTTTTATAGAATTTATATATGTGTAGTCTTATATTACTTATAGTTATGTTTTTGAACATAAAAGTATATTTATCATACAATCTTAAAAATAAAATTCTTGTCATAAATGATCTGTAAAGTAATTTCATTAAAAGTATTACGATATTATTAAAATAAAGGTATATTGTTACCTGTAAACTCTTTGGTAGCATCAAGAGGATCTATCCAAATTGTAATATCATTAATGTTCACAATATCATCGCTAATATTATAACCATCAATACTTTTAACAGAATTCTTAATGTTTTCTACTACAATTTTGTCACAATCTTGTGACGTTTCCTCGGATATCACAGTAATTCCTGGGAATGATTCTGTTAAAGCACGATACATGGCACAGTGAGATCTATAATCTGCCGCTGTTACTGGATCATTGACTCCTTTAAAGATAACAGAAAAAGAATCATTTTAATTTACACTCTAAAATGTATTGATTGAAGAAAATGAACAAAATTATAAAATAGATGTACTAAATAATGCAAATGATTTGTGAAAAAAATATGACAATAGTGTGTGCATATTATTATCATACTATAAATACCAAGTCGTATATTAATAGTATTACCTTCCTTCGTTTGACCTTTGCTTTCGATTTTGAATTTAATCTGATCGTGCACAGCCACTACTTCAGATCCTCCGATTTCGGCCGCTCTTATCGCGGCGGCGAGAAGCTGTTTCAAAGATACATCTTTCTCGTTCGCGCGCCGATTTGCGCATAAATAGACGATGCCAAAAATCACCGCGACTACGCACAAAAGTATTCTTTGCATACGCACACCCATCCTATTGTACATTGCAAATTAATGACTTGCAATTAACAACGAATCCGTGTTTCTGCTGCCGCGCACACAATGCGATTACAATAATCCTGTTGACAAATAATAATGATAAGTGCAATTAACGGTGCGGTTTTTTTCTTAACCTTATCAATATTTTTATCGTTAATTAGTGCGGATGTAACATACTTTTGACACTATATAAACAACTTTTGTGCAAAGACAATTTGCAGAGGAATTTGTATTGAATATCAGTCATCATCATATTTCTTTTTTTACAAGATAAAAGAAATTTTTTATCTTATGGTTAGTTTTACGGTTGTCCAATATTGTTGATTGATGAACAAAAAATATAAATCCTTTTCATAATTTTTGATTTGTTAATAAGAGACGATCGTTTAAATGCGAGAGATGTAAATGTGTCCAAGATGCGCAAAGTGTTCGTCTGACATCTGACTTCATTTTTAGTTGCACTCAGTTACACTCCCTGCACTTGGTTACAGCACACGCAGTTTTCCTGGCGGGAAGCAATGGCTGGATGTGAATTTTGAGATCGCTCGCTCGCCGTTCAAACATTACTTGAATTTTTCTTCCAAATAAACCGTAACGTATCCTAATTATTCTAAATATATATCGCGCGTGTCTGAAATTACTTTGTGGTATCCGAAATACACGTAACAAAAGATAGAAGAGACGCCAATGACACCGTGTCGTTGAAATTTTTTAGTACAAGAGATTCGACGAGATGTTGACGATACAATTTGGACAATGTGGGAATCAACTCGGACACGACTTATTCTCGAAGGTATCTACCGATCTTGAAAGTCTAAATACCGGCGTTTCTTATGGAGCTAATTACGAGTACACGGAAAACACGATCGAGAAATGGTTCGACGGAATAACGGAACGCGGCCGGCATTTCGCGAGGGCGATCCTCGTCGATACCGAAGAGAAGGTAGTGAACAAGATATGTAAGGATGCGAACGCATCGTGGACCTATCGAATAAGCAACGTCGTTTGTCAATCTGGCGGTGGTTGTGCCAACAATTGGGCTTACGGCTACAAGATAAACAGCCAACGTTTGTCAAATATTATATTGAATATAACGCGACAAGAGATTGAGAAATTAGATCGTTTTCAAGGATTTCTACTGCTTCTTAGCTCGGCCGGTGGCACAGGATCCGGTATTGGAAGCCGTATGGTTGAAATTCTACGCGATGAGTATGAGACTAAGTCTATTGTCGCTGCGATTGTGTTGCCATTCAGCTTTGGAGAAGTCTGCACTCAAAATTACAATACTATATTGACTCTAGCTGAGTTCTCCGACAGAGCAGACTTTTCTATGTTATTTGAGAATCAGCAGATGCATGCTATGAGTACTAGTTTGTTGAAGAATCCTAATACCATGTTATACGACATAAACAGTATTATTTCTGAGAATCTGCTCGCTGCTTTTCAACCTACCAACAAGGCAAGATATGACATGAATTTTTTAATATCCAAAATAGCTGCGCATCCCAATTTTAGATTTGTAACAATCAAGAGTACTCCTCATGTTCCTGCAACATGTCTGCAGTATGAACCCACCCACAAGTGGGATGTATATATACGTCACTTGAAGCAGACTCTTCGAATTTCAAAATCGCAAACGGAATTGACAAATGTCCAATTAAAAACACCAAATCCTATACCGGGCAAAACAGATATGTCTTATATGTATAGTCCTTGTGTATCTAATATTCTTGTAACACGTGGCAAATCTGTAGAGAATGACGCTGTAATGTTGGAAGATCTGCAGAAAAGACATTTATATCCAGAGTGGATTACGCTAGAGTCGTTCACTCACTTGCATCAGGAACGCAAGTTTTTGAATCGAGACAAATTTTTAGCATTGATCACCAACAATTCAGAGATACATCGGCCATTGGACGCATATCTGGACAAAGCATGGAATTCTTACAAATTTGCGGCTTTCTTACATCAATATAAACAGTTTGGCTTGGAGGAAGACGATTTCTTGGAAGCTTTTGCAAAAGTTGAGAACATAGTGCAGGAATATAAAAACTTGAAGAGTTATGGTGAAAATTAAGTTTTTTATATAACTCTTATGTTTATGTGAAACTGATATTTTTGCCTGATTAATTTGACATATTTATATCTTTATAAATAAGAAAACAAATTTTTGCTATTTTTTAGTTACAATATGATGCAAGTTAAACTTTAAAATTTTGTAATATTCCATGATTATTTATGGATATGATGCAGTAGCATGTAGTAACTTGCTAGAACAAAAAATCTACAATTTTATATATAACATAAGCATATACATACATATATGTGCTTTATAATATATATATTTTATATATTTTAATTATTTACATTTATTTTCAATTCATTTTGAAAAATATGCGAAAAAGTTCACAATTTTAAACCTTTGCAGATTTTTCCTAAAGAATGAGTTTTTACAGTTACTTCACTTGTCAGATATATAGATTTATTTCTTAATTCATTCTCTCTTGACATTTCTACTTTTGCCAAGTACATTATGCGTAGGCGTTTACACGAGACCTTGAGTATCACGGTCACGGTTACTACGAGATGGGCGAGCGGTTGTGATGTCATTTGGGAATCGACCGAGCTGCGACTACGGGACACGTGAAAGAGACTCGTAAAGGAGGAAAGACGGACAAAAAGGAGGCAGAGTAGAAGAGGGAGAAAGGCGACAATAGAACGAACGAGCGAGTATGCTTACCGAGGGAAAAGCGAGATGAGATGAAGAGTCATTTGTGTCGATGTAATACTATCATGTGTCTGAGCCTCGTCTATTTCACCGCGTCGCCTTTAGAGCCTTCTCTGCGCAATTGCGTCCCTGCATCCCTGCTGGGATAGAAATCCATACGTATATATCGTATCAAATACACCTTCTGCGCAATGTGTACGCGTCACGGATAGACGCAAAAATAGAAAATCCGATCATCCCGTTTCTTGGAAGAGGGGAACGTTTCCAGGAACCCTCATCTGCCCCTTTCACCCTTCTTTTTCTCCCACATCAACTCGGAAACAATCCAAGGAATGATCGAGCGACGGAATCTCGGCGGCAAATGAGCCTATTCCAGGATTCAATCTCGTATCCTGAAATATCTACGTGCTATTTTTCTCTCTGGTATGTATTATATTTATAATTCAAAATTCTCAAGATAATGCGTTTTATTTCCTTTTTTTCTCTTTTTTGTATTGTATCACAGCAAAATTAAAACACAAATTAATTTATTGTGATTACAGATATCTCTCTATAATGAATATGAGAATAAAACATTTATAATTCTCAATCATTTTAATCAAGCTCAAAAAATATTTATGAACATTGATTTGAATAATTTTAAAATATTCGTTTTACAATTATAATATATTTACATTTTAATCCTTGAGAAATCTTAATATTTCTATATATAAATATATTTTACTTTCCATTCATATTGTATTTTTTGCTTTAGAAAAACAGCATGCTTAAAAAAAAAATTTTTTTTAAACTGGGCTTCTCGAGTCTCTTTTTTTATATTTTTTCTATACACATTTTCTTTTATATATTTCTTTACATAATATGCTCTTTACAATTATAATCAAATTTTAATTTTGCTTTTTTAGATTTTACAAAATTTATGATGCGAGAATGACAAAAAAGTATCAAAATGATATTGTTAAGAAGAATACAAAACGGTACTCTGTATGAAATCATTTTCGAAGCGAAATACTTGAAGAAACATCTCGCTTCCGGACTAGGTCGCAGGGATAGAGGTTCTCTCGCGGTCATCACCGACGCGACTTGAATACCGAAGAGGCGTGGTTTTGGTCGGCGTAGAAACCTGTTCGTTCTCCGCGCTTCATCTCGTTGCAGCGTGACGTCGGCCGATTCCCCTTCGCGTCACCGCATCACGCAGCCGACCTCCTCCCCCACGTATGAGGGAACGGGCGCTCTCTGGCGTCGGAGTCGCGGGACCGATGACGCGCGCCATTTTGTCCAGTGTCCGTCGAACGCGTCGTGCGTCGGGGTGCGTATCGCTGGCGGGGTTGTTTATCGCTGTGCGAGAGCGAAATAAATCTGAACGCGGAGACTTAGGTGTGATACTGCACGCGGGTGTGCGAACAGACGAGCGTTTGTTGTGCTCGGCTCGAGGCGAGCGTAATATGTATTACGTGCCTTCTAGATTCGTGTCTGTGGCGACGACGTCCGGCGCGGCTACGAAGAGGAAGACCGTCTCCTCGTATTGTGATCGCTGCGAGCTTCTACGAGGACAGACGTAGCGTTGCGACGACGCTTAATAAACAAGCGACTCACGGAGAGTGTGAATGGCGACGACGACGATCACGCAAACACTCGATCCCGTTGTCGCAGCGGAGAGCAGCGTTTGGCTGCAGGTGAGTTTCGAGAGGGTGGCAGCGCGCCGTTTCTAATCGATAAGAGACGCGCGCGCGCCCGCGCGTCTCTTTTCGTCCGTCCTTTTCGTTTCCTCTCTCGCGGAGGAGGAAATGAAAAGCACACGCTCATCCCCCGTTTCGCGCGAGGGGAAATGTTCACGATCCAAGTGGTCGTTTCGTCGTGCACGGACAATCGGCGTATGCTCGCTTGCTTGTGCAAGTCGAGTCCGAGAAAAGTGAAAGCTCGCCTCGATGCCGCCGATCGTTTCGCCTCGACTCGCGAAGGACCTCTCGTTTTCTGGCTGCAATTTTTTGCACTCGCCGCGTTTAAGATGACGTAGATGATAGACGCCGGGATGTACGATATAGGTATGTTTAGACTTTGGAGCGGAAAGTGAGAAAGGAGACAAAGGAAAAACCACTTTGTATTTTCGGAGCAATATATATTTATTGCTTCACATATGACACATACATAATTTGGAAAACTAATCACTTACATTAAATTTTACATATTTGATAATTAAAGAAAGTGATATTGTACATTGATTAAAAAGAGTCAAAGGTCAAAGGCGACCATGAAAATGCCTTGACAATTCTGAAACGATCACTGTCAAGGATACAATGATATGTTAAACATCTCGCATAAGCGAGCAGCTATTTTATATCCTGTTTTACTGGCATACGCTTGATGATAATTTGTACGCTGCTGATATTTGGTGCGCACCGATGCGTCCAATCGATTTGCTGATAGTGCAAAAGTACAACTAAAATATGCCCATCTCACTGTGATGGATAAAAAAGAATACGTTAAATTAAATTTAAGGTAATAGAACTAATTTCTCTTTGCATTTTTTCCCCCCAAAAAATTTAGGTTTTTATTATAATTCGTAACTGATATAATTTTATAAATTTTTATATTTATCGTTACTATTTACATTTTGAGAGAGAGAGAGAGAGATCACAGCATCTTTAATAATTATTTCTCACTATATCTATGCTTTGTTCCTTTACTCGTAATTCAAGTCGTCTTTAATATCGATAATTAATCCTTTGGTCTGTAGGGATAATTCTACTTGAGTGATTTCAGATTTAAGCAACAATGCAACAAATATTAAATTTTTGAGAAAAAAAAGAGAAAGAAATATTATGCACTATTATTATATTTTAATTTTCTATCAGATTCATATAATTATATCAATATTATAATAAATGCGAATTATACGATAGGAAGAGATTTTGTTACGGATATCGATTGTATCGAAGGACCCGCGGAATGTTCTGTTTTGATAGGAATCTCTGATTTTGTTACATAAATATTTTATAAAGGATAGATATATATCATAAAGAAATTTAAGCATACGAAATTTCGAAGATTGTGTTAAATTATCAATGATACACGAATAGCATCTCTTATTCATTACATCGATCTTTACATATTACATATAATTCTTAATTTTTATTTTGAAAATAAAACAATAGTACTTAATGAAGTATGAATTGTACTTAATGAAAAGTACTTAAAATGAATTTAAATACTATTAATATTACAAACATTAATATTAATATTCCAGGAAGTCTATTATCTAGCCTTATTTCTTACATATATAACTATGATTAGATATAAATACATGTTAAAAATTTCATAACAAAACTGAGAAATAACAATCTTAATAGCTATCCGTAATATTCATAATCAATAATAGTTTGATGTTTGTAGGATTATTTCTCAATAATAAATCAGTCATTATAGGCGATTAACCGCAGGGCATCGTCTTTGCTATTAGGCAGCATTGCGATCACTGGCCATTATCGGGTGATTTCGATGCCAGGATGCGCAGCCAAAGCGTACGCGAACTATTCTTTAAAGATTGAGCCTCACGTTTCATGTGTTTGCTTATGTGACTCCGAGGGGCGATTTCATTCATACATGGCAGCTCTCGTGCGATCGATACTACACGCGAGACAGACACTGCAGATACAATCTTCGAATATACTTAGATGTATATATATATATATATATTTTTTTTTCCAATTTATTCCTATTTTTATTCATACAGATGCAAAGCATTTGATCGCGCTTTATTTTTGTTTAATCAGAGCTGTAGAAAATCTAATATTTTCGAAAGAAAATGGAAAATTCATAATAATTATCCTTTACATAAAATATTAGAGCAGGGTTTTCTTTGTAATATTCTTTTTCGAGAACTAAAAACGTTATAGATTCCAAAAAAAAAAAATTTTATTTTTGGAATTGGGATTTTATATTGCGTAACAATGTCCAGTGTAATTAATATAAAAATAAATATATAAAACTTTCAATCAAAATCAGATTCTCTCTCTCTTTAGGTACAAAAGAAAATTGTCAATAAGTCGAACTGTAATTAACGTAGCAAGGAGCTAAATAAATTTGTTTGGTCGATGAAATATCGTGGTTACAAACTGATGAATAATGACGCATAAAAAAATCTTCAATAAACACTCCGTTCGAGTTTAACATTCGCATCTATTTAACGACATAGAAAATACATTTTTATTTTTTTTTTATCTTCGCTTTTGTCCCTAAGGGACCGCACCCGTGCAGCAGTTCTAAAAGACAGTATCCTTTGTGTGCGTAGGTCAACCTGCACGCACTCTATTTTGGACATAGGTATATTTCTCTATCAGTGCTTCTCAACTCGTTTTCACATCGTATCATTTATAGAAAGTAATATTTATACAATACATAGATTGTGAGATAGAGAGAAGGGAACGGATTTGAGAAGATCTATTTAAGACACGATAAATATTATATACAGGATATCGCAAACGTAGCATTAACTTTTTTAACGCTATTTTAGAGAGAAGATTCTTTAACAAAAGAAACTATCAAACATTAAGAAAGCTATGATCGCGTGTTTAAAATTTTTTATTTAAATATTTTCCAATTAGAATCTTTCTAATTAAATGTCACATTGCAAATGTCTATTTTTTTTGACATACTTGAGATTAAATAAAAGACAAGCTTTCCTTATTCACGTCTGTGAAATGTAGACAAACTCTCGGGAAACGTATCTTTATAAGAAGCTTTTCTCTATTTTCCACTAAACTCTAATCTTTTGAGCAGGTATATACAATAGTCAGTGATTCTCAATCATTTTCACATTGATGAAGATAACGTATTTTTTGTGAAAATTTATAAACTATTAAGAAGTTCTAGCTTTATTTATGCAATAGTTCTATAATCCTTGATAGTTTAAACAAATAGTTTTGTTCATTAAATCAAATAAATCAATTTTTAAAACAAATTATGAGATGGGTTCATACAGCATTTTAGGAGAGTTTCTTCTCATTCTTTGTCAGCTTTTAAGAGACTTATAGTTCGGAATTCAATATATATATATATATTGAAAATAAAGCTAGAAATTTTAATAGTTTCCACGAAATGATGCATCAGAAAGAGAAAGAAAGAGAAAAAGTTTCATATATACATTATTACCAAGTTATCTTTTTTGTATAGAAACATATATCTATATGTAGTATGTCATTTTTTCTCATCATATTATCATCATTATCACGTGACCGATAAAAATTATCGTAAAATGTTTTTTCTCTTTCAGTAGAGGAAAGAAATTAACATTCCCGATTTTTGTTGGGTTTTTTTTTTAGAGAGTATATAATATTACATATAAGTCATATGAGTAACGATCTGACATATGCGATACCAGTATTCGCTGCTATTTTTGTCAGATGGCCGTATGTAAGTTATATCTGATCGAAGTCGCAATTTACGTACACGGGGTGCATAGAATTAAATAGAACGCGGAGGGTATAATACATAACTTTCATTAAAATCTATATCTCTCGCGTAGAATTGGCAACTCTTCGAAATATTACCGAGCTATGTTTACTCTCTTAGAACAAACTGTTCTTGTTTCGCAGCTTTTCTCTTTCATTCTGAAAACTTCATAAAATTTTTGTTAAATATTTCATATAAAAAATTATATATATTGCTCATTTTATATATAGACTCAAACTATGTTAATATAAATTGCTGAGATAAAATTTGATATTATATAATTGTTATAGAACCAAAACACACGCATCTATTTAAAATAAATATCAAACGTTAGATAAATAATATAACAATTGAATAATTTAGAAAGAAAATTTTTCACATTTTTTAGAGATGATCGGAAACGAATATTTGCGTTGTGTTATTGTGTTTAATACGTGCTAGGATTGACGACGATGTTTCATTGTTCGCTGGGTTCAAGTAACCTGGAACCTGGCAAGACTTCGATCCAGGTGCGCAATATTAAACGGAGGCACACCTACTAGTGACTCATTCTGGAAGAGTTCCTGGTTTCTTTCGCCCTTCGTGTAAGGGATGTATATGAAGCGAATATAATTTACCCCTCATTTATTACGCTACCGGAAACTTACCTTCTAAATATACAGAAAATATACATATAAATCTGTTCAGCTAAATTTATAATTTATAATTTAAAAAGAGACCGAATATTATTTTTATTCGAATTTTCTTTAATATCTAAACCATTCGAACAATTGAATCTTCGGATAATGGAAATCGATTAAACAGTTTGATTATCGGTTTATATCCGAACTTGACACTCGAACGTATTTACTTTGAAATATTAAAACACAACTGTTTAAACATATACACACGCTGTTTGATAACACATATCGCTCGAATCTTTTGTCTGAGTTTTATTGGAGAAAACTATTTGCTAAAGTTATTATTTATTTAATATGTGGCACATAATTGTGCACTTGCATTTATCTTTTGTTTGCATTCTAGTTCATATAATTCTTCATTGTTTCGAAAACGACTATCTTAATTGTCGGGGAAAAAATGCATAAATAACAGGGTCAAATGAGCTCAAAGTCCAAAGAATCTGTGTGTCAAATAAAGTAAAACGAGTGCTAAGGTTCGGTATGCGAACAGGCAAAAATACCACGCCTCTTACTAGATCGGCAT